ATACTATCTGATAGTCATAACATAGTTCTTATGTTATAGAATCTATTTTTGAATACAACTAATAATATAATCAGAGATTACACTCTAAATGAGATCAGTGAATCAAGTCATTAAGTAATGATTGTCATCATCAAACCTTGACCATAATCACCCGATCATACTTTTTCTTGACTTTTGTGTCATAACAAATATTTCATAAACACTCAATTACAGCAGCCAAAGAAAAACTTGTACTGAATCATCAAGGGTCAAGAGCCCAACTAAAGCAAACGCTGATCTTCATCATGGTGTCCTTAAACCTTGTATTTCTTGTGTTTCTCCTTCTTTCAGTGATTCTGGTTGTTAACAGCAGGTGTTCATCACTAATGAGCAATCATCACTTAATTGATGATTTATTAATTTAACTATACAATTATTATTCATTTATCATTCTGGGATCTCGAAATGTTCTATAACTCGTTCAGTTTGAGTTCTGTTTCAGTCATTCAAGCCACTTCAATTTCAGTATTATTTGAGTGCAGTGAACTCAATTTAATTGAGTATATATTACTGTTAGGTTTTACATAGTACTGGTATGCAAAATAAATGCTTTTATTTAAAGCATTTATACTTATTTGTGATCTGTAGTGGTTTCTCAGTAGTGGTTAATGTTGGTTAATGTCCAAGTCTGAACCTCAAGCCAAGACTCAAACTCGGGTCGCTGTGTGCCCAGCTGCGGCATTTACAGCACATATTCCACAGGGCTATTGCTCCGTCTACTATCCGGACCCTCGACCATCCCTTCCGACTTGTTGGCTGATGGTTGCCCATTCCTTACAGTTCCAGCGAACAACAGAGTGGGTTGTTAGCTGCAATAAAGCCCACTTTTATTCTCTGTCCCAATGCTCCTCACAAACTGTTATGGGAAGTGTGTTAACATACACACAATGTCAAAACAATGTCCACGCCATTACCTCCAGATACATAACTAAGGTCTATAATCCTTCCTTAATCTAAACCTTGTCTGTGAAACCAAGCCATAAAGCACATACTAATGCCTTATTCTGCATGGTCAAGTTCTACATCCCTTAATCATACCTAAACTTGTCAACCACCTTACTAACTATTAATAAGCAGCAATTAGGAGTTTATCGAGGCAAAAGTCATAGTTAAAGGAGTTCACTTTAAAAAAAAAAAACTTTTTGCTGATAATTTACTCACCCCCATGTCATCCATCCAAGATGTCCATGTCATTCTTTCTTCAGTCGAAAAGAAATTAAAAGTGCAAAGGGGCTTTAAACAACTCTAGATGATGAATAAGGGTCTTATCAAGCGAAACGATTGCTCATTTAAAAAAAAAAAGACAAAGTTTAAGTTTTAGCTTAAATGGTCGCCTTGCTCTGTTCTGTGATGCGCGTTTGTGACTCTCCTGTTTGTACTCGTTTATCAAAATGAATGAATCTTTTTCGTGTCATTTGGTTCATTCAAGGAACGAAATGAACGAGTTGACTCTGGAAAAGATTTTTTCATTTTGATGAACGAGTTTGAATAGGAGAGTCATGAACGCGCATCACAGAACAGAGCAAGCTTATAAAAACCATGAGCTTATAAAACTTAAAATTTGTTATTTTTTAAATGAGTGATCGTTTCACTTGATAAGACCCTTATTCATCGTCTTGAATCGTTTAAAGCCCCTTTGAACAATTTGCACTGTAACTGTCTTTTGGACCTTGAACCGTTTGGTTCCCATTGCCACATTATAATGCTTTGCACCCATCCTATGATGAAGTCCACTCAGATATAACATTCTAATCTCTTATATGGGAGGTCAAATATGTGGCACTCACAATGTCTCCACGTGTGGCAAGTACATACTGACATCCAGTGTGTCTTTTCATCTCTCTTACTGCAGATGTCCCAAGGGGAGGACAAGCGGCCCACCATTCTACGCTTTCCATTGCCCTTCATGATGGATGTGTTGCATGAGCGTTGGACTCATCCCCCGGGCCTGTCTCTGCCTCTTTTCTGGGTTAAACGGCACCCTACATCACACCCATCTATACATTCACGAGCTGAGTGTGTTTACTGGAGTATAAAAGCACAGCCATCCATTTCCTGTCAACATCTCAAGATAAAAGAGGAGGACAAGAAGAAATATCTTAGACAGCACTTCTGAGATGCATTGAAAATGATATCACAACATGAGAAATGGTGGATTTTTTTAAAGAACATGTTTTTATCATTCTTGTGATTCTGTTGAATCATTTTCATGTGTACATGTCAACAGTATGTGAAAGCATTCTCATTCGCATCCAATCCATCACCTCTAAACATGTTACACTATACAGTATGTAATTTGCTAAAAGATATGAAATGCTATACAAATATTCATGCTGCATTTTCCTGCAAAGTATATATATTTATGAATTATTTTTTTTTAGTATGACAGTTTTGGGACATACTATCGAGGGCTAGGTGATATAGCAAAAAAAATATATTATTAATTATTATTGCAAAATTTTATTATCATTATTTAAAAAATACATAAAGATGTAGAAATTTGAGTAAAAACTGCAACATGTAAAACATTGTGCTACACCGATTAACTAGAACCACATTTCAGGCGATGGAAAAGGTTTCTTGATTAATTGACAAGGCCAATTAATCATATAATTGTGTGTTACTTTTGTTCAACAGTTTCCTCAGCTTTAGAGTGTAAAGCAAGTTTTGGTTTTGCTTTCGTTTCTCTCGCCAGCCAGACTGATTGTTGTCACATTTATTTCGTGTGATTACCCTCCATATCAAGTAAAAATATCCAGAGCTTATTTTCATTATCAACATTAATTTTATTGTGATTTCGATGTGATTTTGTTTAATTTCCCAACCCCATCATACTGCATCTTGATACCAATTACGTTCTTGTCGAATGTTGTTTATATTCCGCCTGTTGCAGTATTGGCAAGTAAGCCATAGCATCTACATTCAGTACCAAAATGAAATGCAGTTTGCAACTCATGTTTAATTCTGTAAACTGATGTGTACTGAACCGCAACCTAAAAAAAAAAAAGTCAGTAAAAAAAAAAAAAAAAAAATCTGTAAAAAAAAAAAAAAATCTGTAAAAACAACAAAAAAAATCTAGCATTTCGAGATTAAAGTCGAAATGTTTCGAGATTAAAGTCGGAATGTTTCGAGATTAAAGTCGAAATGTTTCGAGATTAAAGTCGAAATGTTTCGAGATTAAAGTCGAAATGTTTCGAGATTAAAGTCGAAATGTTTCGAGATTAAAGTCGAAACATTGTGCATTCATATTCATGTCCACTGGCTCAGAGCGCGCGCGTGTGCGTGTGAAGTCGAACTGCCATGGATAAACACAAAATAGTAGCTTTTTACTTTTATCTGAATTACTTATCTTACTTTATCGTTATAAAATATAATGCGCCAGAATAGACTTTAGCCTATAGGAAAACCAACACGGAAAACACTTTTCAGACTGGATGGAGAAATCCAGCTTTAGGAATGAATGAATGAATGAATGAATAGGGCATTTATATAGCGCTTTCATATATGCCTACACTCAAAGTGCTTTACAATCATATCAGAGAATCTCTCCTCAACCATAAGTGGTTATTAAATCTTAGGAAATCACAGGATCCGGCCAAATGATTGGATACAGAATGATGCACTTAAAATGTATCCAGAGCGTATTTACGTTGAAGAGGGAGACCGAACAGTTACTGTTGTGTTCTCGACCCAGATAGTGTTGACTAGACGAGCACGAAAACACCTCAGAAACACTGCCACTATAGCACGTGTGACGTGTGTAGAATTTTGTTGAAAGCCCAGATAAAAGTAAAAAGCTACTATTTTGGGTTTATCCATGGCAGTTCGACTTCACACACACACACACGCGCGCGCGCGCGCTCTGAGCCAGTGGACGCGCACTGTTATGAATGCACAATGTTTCGACTTTAATCTCGAAACATTCCGACTTTAATCTCGAAACATTCCGACTTTAATCTCGAAACATTTCGACTTTAATCTCGAAACATTTCGACTTTAATCTCAAAATGCTAGATTTTTTTTTTTTTTTTTTTTTTTTTTTACAGATTTTTTTTTTTTTACTGACTTTTTTTTTTTTTTAGGTTGCGGTTCAGAAAGATCTTAAGATCTTAAGCTTTGCTCATTTGGATTTCTGGAATTCATTACCTGATTATGTATCATCTGCTGATCACACCAAATCTCACCAAAAATACTCCATTCAAGCACATTTGGCAGAACCTCAGCATAGCTTAGGACTCATTATATGAGTCAAGACCACTGTCCACCCAATTTAAAAATTGTTCCATCCTTTTGTGGAAGACCCACCAGGTAGCATTGCTCTTGATATTTTCTTGAACGCACTTTGCTGCAGGAAACATTAGGAGGCAATTAGGGTCGTGGTGTGGTCAGTGGTGATGTTGAGCCCTGTTTAAATCAGGAGAGGATGGGGGGTCCTAATTACATGCTAATATGGGCCAGGCGGTGTCATGAGTTTGTAATTGGAGCACAGCTGCTACTGGGAGCAACAGAAGAAATGCAGAGAGAGACTCCAGCAGGTCAGGGTGATCCGAGCCCGTTTGTCTCTGTCAGAGGACACGCTCGCAAATTCATGCAGTTTGTTCCGAGTTTTATCCTGCCGCTTAGAGAAACCTAAAGTGAGGTCTTGAATAGTTTATTCAAAAATTAAACTTGTGTCATTTACTTCTGCCATTCTTCACCCTCCAAACATTCTTTGTCCCCTGGAACAAAAAATGCAAAATATTTAACGTAGGTAAATGATCTGGTCACTCTTTTGCAAACATTTAAAGGAAATCCGGACTAGGGTAGTCAAGCCTTAAATATAAAAAAAATAATCTATATGACTTGTGTGCTGTTATTTTAGTATGATTGAGATCTGGGGCTCGTTCTTCGTACCTTGCTTAAAACATCCGAGATCAAATGAGACATCCAAGATAATATCATCGTGCTAATCATGATCCGGCTAATTGGGTTCTTCGAACACACCTGTTGTTTATGATTAGTATCGCTGGATTGAGTTATCTGAGATAATTGCGCGTTCATGCGTTGGTTTAAAAGGAGACATGTATCGATAGCAGAAACAATGATCAGCAACGCTGCTATTGGCTGTTCAGCATGGCTAAAGAACGCGCCCAGTTTTTTTCTCAAGGAGAACAAGAGCTTTTAATGGAAGGTTATGCGGAGTTTCAATCTTTAATTAAAACGACAGGGAACACCTCGAAGTCTGCAAAAGCCAGGAGAGAGGGCTGGCAAAAAGTAGCAGACAAATTAAATGCGTAAGTGCTGTCCATGGTTTCTATCACTTTCTATAGAATGTATTTTTGCATTTTAATAATTGCATATTTACTTTGTTCTTTTATGTCAGAGCCTCCGCGGGACCCATTAGAACATGGGGACAAGTAAAAGTGAAGTACAAGAATATTCTACAAAATGGTAGCCTTTAAATCTTATACTGTCTTTATTTTAAAAAGGCCCTTTTTTTCCTCTTTTTAAAAGCCACTGTTAAATAATGTGTTTGTCTGTTTATAACAGCCACCAAGAAAAAGGCTGAAAAAAAAAAAACAGGTGGTGGTCCTGCACCACCACAATGTACCCCAGCAGAGGAGCTGGCCCTTGGGTTGAATCAAAACCGACCCATTGTGGAGGGCATCCCTGGCGGCAGCTCTTCCTCAGACCCAAAGCCAGGGACCAGTAGCAGCAACACCTTTATTACTGGTAGGCTAAAAAGATTTCAATTCTCACTGTAAAATGATTTGTTGCTGCATTAAATGAAGTATAATCCAAATGGCTTGTACAGTTATTTCAACCGTTTGTGAAAGTGAAAACTTCTGAACTTTTAATGGAAAATATATTGCCATGGGTTATTGAGCACGTTATATTTTTTACAGTGTACTTAATTGTAATGACTTTTTTTTTTTTTTTTTGGTTCCCCTCTTTTGTGCAGTTTTACATAATACACCAACCCTTTTACCTGTTCCCAAGCAAGTGGTGGCTGAAGCATATGCAGTAAGTTGTGTACTTTTTCTAACTTGCATAAAGGGAATAAAGTGCAACACTTTGTAATCCCCATTTATTTCCATTGCACAGGACAGTGAAGAAACCCTCTCGGATGACTGTCCTTTGGAGGAGGAACCTGTAAGTGCATAAATAACTTAACACTAATTTGTATATACTTGTGTACCTATTCTTTTTGTGTGCAATATGAGTTGCAGGAGTCCACACCTACAGAAAGGCCTACAGAAAGGCCTACAGAAGAGTCTGCACAAAGAAGTGATACAGAGGTGGACAGTGTTGTACTTTTACTTTTTACTTTTGTTGCATGAGTCATGTTTTGACCCTTTTTTTCTTTCACAAAAAGACACAGGGTGACATCCGTTCCCTATACAAACGGCATCTTCAACAAAAAATCGAGTATTTTGACCTGAAAAAACAGAAACTAAAAGGAGAAATTGAACTTGACAACTTGAAAAAGAGAAAAATTGCACTAGAGATTGAGTTGCTTCAAAAGGACCTTCAGAGTAAGTGCTAATACACCATTTGACACATAGTAGTATGGCTGACTTTACATAACTATCTCTTATTGCAGGCAAAAGATGACTTGCTGGCTTTTCTTTATAAGGAATTGTTTAAATAAAACTCCAGGAACTAAGCATTTTTGTCTTGTCTTTTATTACATATTCAAAAATGGTGTTCCACGATTCTGTCTCGTGCAGCTCTGCCACTAGGTTGGTCCAAGTGCACTGGCTGGAGGTCATCATCAGGCTGCACCTCCACCACAGGGGTCCTCTCCTTTCTGATAATGGCAATGTTATGCAATATGGCACATGCAACAATTATGTCACAGGCCCTGTCAGGTGCAACCCTCAGACCCTTCAGACACTGAAATCTTTCCTTTAGTTGCCCAAAGGTCATTTCAATGCGTGCCCTTGTCCTGGCTAGAGCTGCATTGTAACGGGTTTGTGGTCCAGGGTTTGGGTCAGGGAATGGCGTCATGAAGTACTGCCTGCAGGCATAGCCCCGGTCACCAAGCAGGATCCCGTCAAAATCCCCTGTATAATGGAAAAATTCAGTTTTGTTAGGCTCAGCATAAGTGTGTGTAATAATGTGAGCTTGACATTTATTCCCTTACCACGTTCAAATAATGTGCATAAATGTGACTCTCTGAAAATTCTTGAGTCATGCACAGATCCTGGCCATTTTGCTTCCACATTTGTAATATGGAACATAGCGTCACACACCATCTAAGAGATTTTAGTCAGTCAACTGCATACTTTTTGATTACGTTCCTTTTTTATGTAATATATGATTAATCTGGAATATTACAAATTGTAATAGTAACTTACCTGCACATTTACACTGTGAACCCCCTTTCGGTTCACAAAATCCCCTTCATTGGGCCCTGGTGGGGCCTTGATGGGGACATGTGTGCAGTCTATGGCACCAATCACGTTAGGGAAGCCTGAAGGACACATACTGTTAGTCATACTTTTTGGCATGGTCATGATTGCATGTCATAACAATTATAAGTACCTGCAATAGCAAAAAAATTCTGCTTTACAACCTGGGGTCTTAAGTGGCTTGGAAATAACACAAAAACCCCTAAAAACTGCTTGAATGCCAAGTAAACTTTGCGAATGGCACGACAGACGGCACTTTTCACTAAGTTCTCTGCATCTCCAATAGTGTACAGGAACGTGCCACTCGCAAAGAACCTCAGGGCAATGCACACAGTCTGTGCAGTTGTCAAAGCCCGACTCCTCCGTGTTGAACATTTAATGTGAGGTTCAAGCAAATTAATGATGTAAATAACACCCTGTCGAGAAAAACGATATCTCTCAAAAATTACACTGTCGCGCTGCGCTAAAGGATCCTGTCTATCCTGTAATACGCGATTAATTCGAAAAGCTCTGCGAATTATCCTCGCACCTTCCGCAACAGGTTGCTGTCGTAAAAATGGACAAGACATGGCTACGACAGACTTAACGCGTCACCTTCGCTTATAAAGCCGCGATCTAATCCTGTTTACATGAAATAAGCCTGCTCGTGAGCAGGCTCAAGCTAGCGCACCTGTTGCTATGACAGCAAGTCCAGGATGAGCGTCGAAGAACCAAACGATCCAAGATCATGCCAAATCGCCAACAATCAAATCCAGCTAACTGAGTTAGCGAGGTACGAAGAACGAGCCCCTGGGCCTGCAAGGCTGGATGAGGTCTCCCATGAACAACAATGGAGCAGTGCCATAACACTTAACAATATAAAATGACAATATACAAACAGTAATAATAAACAAAATGTACTTGGAAAAGTGGAAGGAATTCCATATCTACTGTATGGGACTCTATGTCTGTTTCTTGCAGCCTGTAACTGTTCTCTCATTGAGAACAATCAATGTCCCACGTGTCTTTGAAGTGTATATGAGTGGAGCAGAAGGGTGATAATTCACAGTGGGGCAGGCAGACAGACAGTATATGGATTGTTTCAAAGCAGCTTTACAGTACAATAATACAAATTACCGTAACATATTGTTTAGGCTTTACAACAGCATTAGGATAAAGTTATTGTCCAGCTAAAGTTAGTTTTGATTGATTCACTTCCATTGTGAAGATCATTAGTTATTAACGTGTCCCTAAGTTAATAACTAATGATCTTCACAATGGAAGTGAATCAACACGTCATCATTCTAACAGAAAAACTCTTAACGCGCTCCAGCCCACTCATTCACACAACGACAGTGCCTGGTGGCTCGAGAACGCAAACCTTGGGGAACCCAAATCTAATCTAATTTTATTTTATTTATTTTATTTTATTTAAGGTGTAATAACGAATCTTAAATATCTTGAGAAGTATGAACAAACTTTTTAATGGAAAAGGGTCAATAATCTTAAATGTGTAAATCTGAAATTTACTGAGAAGTATTAAGTTAATTATTAACAAAACTTTTTAAAGGTGCCATATGTAATAATTGAGGTAAACATATCCAAAAAATGAGCTACACGCATCAAAAGAATGAGAAGAAATAAGTGCAATGATGTAATTAAAAAACTGACAAGTTATAGTGCTGCCGAGATATAAACCTAACTTAGCATGCTAATTTACTAGCCCCGGCCCGGCAGGTGTCGTAATACCAGTTTCGGTCATGGGAGGCGGAATGCGGGTGGGCAACATTACCACCAGCCAAACTGCAATAGACGAGTAACTCGCGCGGCTTGTGTGTGTACTTGAACCTGATGTCAGTCGTGTGGAAATATAGCCCACTACTACATTTCAGTTCAGGGAAGAGTTCAAAAAATGATTGGTCGACATTATGCATGAGGAATACATTTTGGTAAGTTGTAGCATACTGTATCTTTCAACAGAGTTCATGTTCTTTTTCCATTAGCTAGTAGAGATGATCGGTTCATGTGCGCTAGGGATCTGTCGTGTAACATCTATAAGCGCCAAAACCATAGCTGTCAACCCTCCCGTTTTTTCCGGGTTTCTCACGTATTTTTGCTCTTTTCCCGCTGTCTTCCCGTTTTAGTATCTTCCCGTAAAATATCCCGTTTTTTTTACTATGATTGTGTGAGACGTTCGAGCTCGGGCTGATTCGGCTTGAAGTCGTTTATCCTCGGATGCGGCGCCGCGCGCGCTGGCCGGAGACACACTGGCTGTGGGGCGTGTCCGTTTTTATTTCGGCTCCCATGTTAACAGATTAGAGCTTGCACACTGCCTGCGTGACACGCGCGTCTCCAGAAAACGCGTGCATGCTAGAAATAGAACTGACGCCTATTTTTTCAAGCGACATGCAAGCGTGTTGAAAGCGTTTCCAGGCAAAAAAATAAATAAAAAATAGACACTAGTTTCTAGGCTAGTTATTAACTCTTTAGACTTTTAAGGATTCGTGCTTTATTTTTAAAGTTTGTGGGTAAGAATCGTGTAAAAAAAATCCCTTATTTTGGGGATGGATTCCGGGAAAACTCCCTTATTTTCAGTGTTCAATGTTGACAGCTATGGCCAAAACGGTATTTATTGTTTGAATTGCGTAATAAAATTGACAGAATCTGAGAGCTTAACTAACCTGCTTGCTAAGTGTTAATTGCATGTGTCTCACGGTGAATTTGTGAGAGTTGGCAGCTAGGTTGATCAACATCAGCGAATGCTGTCTGTCAAATTAATTCAAACTAACAATAAAAGTGTAATATGAACAAAACGAATACCGTAAACTTAAAATACTAGCCCGCAGCCTTTTATTTTCCCATATCGTCGAAATGCACCAGCTTGTTTTTGAGACAGGCGTCTATGAGACGGTCTTCATCATTTAGTGTTGAGATGTTGTTCATCGAGTCTCTGATCTCTAAAAATCTCCAAATGCTCCACGTGAAACTGCGGTCTTCCGACCTTTTACTATCGTGTCAAATGATTTGAATAATATGCAGAGAAAGAGAGCAAAACAGCGCTTGCTTGTGTTGTTTGAAGACGTGAGAGTGCGCGCGGCTGCGGCACAACACATTTTCTGAAGGTATACTGCCCCCATCTGTTATGGAATATGGAATATTTTTTTGATTTTTAGTTCCAGATGGCACCTTTAATGGAAAGTCTCAAAATTAATTAATTACAGAATACTGAAAAGCAAAACAGTTTTTTTTCTTGAACTTGAACTTGAACATTAAACTCAGAATGCATGTTTTGAGTGGTTGTCTAGGTATTTATTTGATGTTTATTAAGGTGCACTGATGTCACTGTAGTTCATTACCACATCCACCTTGCATGTCCGTGTTTGAACTTGCTTCTTATGTATGAAAATTATACGTAGCTACACACAACAGGTGGAAAAATTGTGAGAAAAGCTTGACGTTTATACATTATTTAAAGGCATTTATTAATTAGGATATTTATATACAGTAGGAGGTACTGTTGTAAAATGTAACATTACCATGACATTAATTTGAACATGGCCTTTGTAAAAATATAAAGCAAAAAATGAATATGAAAAAAAGATAAATAAACAGAAACAACAACTAGTATTTCGAATAGCAGCAGCATTGCTTAGTCGCCTAGTCTTACTCATCCCTAATAATGGGATGTTGTGACTGTCAGGGTTGTCTGCCGCTGTCAATCTTGTCTTTGTTTAAAGAGTAACTAAATTCTAAACTTTTTTTAGTTAATGATCTGTAAGAATGGATCTTTATTAATACCAGTCATTGATTCGAGTAACTTTTTTGACATTTGTGTATAAAGTGTTTTATTTCTACAATATATGGTGTAAAAACATCTTAGTGCTGCCCTCTTCAGGTTGAACGGTGGCTACTGCAGTTGAATTTTCCTATTGGATGTTCCGCACTTTGTGACGTACATAGGTTTCAGCTCACCATGCTCTTGGTACGAGTGGCAGTATAAAAACCATCTTGTTTCGTCAAAACCACTGTAGCGAGTCAGGAGTTGGAATTGCGAGTATTGAAAATGATCA